ATTGATAGATCTTGTTTGTGCTTGTTTTGTGTTTTTTTCCATAAAGTGTGCCACAATGTCACTGAAATAACCCCACTGAGGGACTACTAAAGATTATCTTATCTTATCTCACTTTATGTTTACATTTTATATGAACCTTTGAGGCGCCATAAGAGCAGTACTGAGCCCTACACATGTCTTCCATACATTTGTCGTACATTTCCATACATTTTATTGATGTTAGTAGTCCTCTCTCTCTTCAATGCTCCACCGTCTGTTTGGTTCTTTCTCAATTCTGAAGAAAAAAAACTACAAATTATGTCATTATTACTCATTTAAAGTAACCCTTCATTATCTTTGTCTTTTTGTTTGTGGTTTTGTATTATAATCTGTAGCACTTTGAGGTTTCCTGGAAATATAAGGTGCATTATAAATAAAATGTATTATTATTATTATTATTTATGTTGATATAATAATATAATATCATCTCAAATAAACCAGCCATGAGTGGGTGTAGTGAGGAGTAGTTTGTTACATAACACAGGGCACTGATGTGACTCATGTCTGACCTACATTTTCCCTCACGAGCCCCGTCCTCGTAATCTTAAACCATGTAGTGGGTATGACGGACCCTCGCCCTGACAGCCGCTGCAGGCATCCAGACCCCTAAACCCCCAGCCCCCCGGCCCGTCTCCTCTGGGGGCTTATAGCTGCAGGACATCTCACATCTGAAGCCCAGATGTGGCTGTGTTAAAGCAGAGAAACCCACCCAGCTGCACATGTCAAGCTCCATGTCCCCAGTGAGGGGTCGTCACCAGCTGTTATCTTGTTCAAACACGACCAGAGGACTGTAGTTCTTCTGGAGCAGGAGGATCCTTCTGAGTTTGACAATAATCAGCAAGCTTCACTTTTCACTCTGCTGGAAGTGCTGCTCGACGGTGGACGACAACATTCATGCATCTGGAAGGAAGCAAGGGTTTGAGAGAAACAAAGCTGTAGTTATTCTTTCTTTCACAGACGGAATGAATGGATCTGAATTGGCTGCATACACTTGATTTATTTATTTCAAGCTCATAAACAGGAATCAATTATGGAATTCACAGCAATTACATAATATACATGATAGAAACATAAATGTTTATATATACAATTAAGGGATACCTTTTTCACTCAAAAAGAGCTACAAAAAAACCTAAATTCACCTTAAACGGTTGCACATGACTGTTCTTGTTATTTAGCTTTCAGACAGATATGATGATGATGATGATAATTATTATTATTATTATTATGATCACTACTACTTTTATCTTACCAGTATTATTATAGTTTTCAGGTGAGTGTCAATAATAATATTTGATCGGACTTTCCAGACCTGACCCATAGGTGCCATATTCAACAGGTTAGAGCCTGCAGGAGGATCATTGAGGGGCTGGTGCTCTGTGATGTGGGTGGCAGCTGAAAGCCTAACCCTAGCCCACCCCCCGACCCAGGAATTAATTAAGGGGAAGAAAATGGATGGATGGACTTTAACGTTTTTTTTCTATTTTAATTACTGTTATTTGATGTTTTTATGAGTACATTTTATCATCACGTTTGACAGTCATTCCAACAAAAATGTTTTGTTTCACAGATTACAATATTTCATTGTGTTTTTAACATTGAATTTTTGGTTTTCATAACTAACATTAATATTATGTTAATTTTATAATACTTTTCTATACATTTTACAGTATTTTTTTGTACAGTGCACAGCCTGGGTCTTGAGTTTGATTCCAGAAGTTTGCACGTTCTCCCCGTCTCTGCTGCAGTTTCCTCCGGGTGCTCCTGCTTCCCCTACCTCTAAGAACATGCACCATATCGGTCTGAATGTAATGTGTGAGAAGGGATGGTGATGGTCGGTCATAACAGTGTGTGGAGTGAATGGAAAATTATCAGTACTCGCAAAAACCTTGGTCTGTGAAATGTGTAAAGATGACTCCTATTTATTTTGGGTCCTGATGTTTTATGTTGAATAAGCTTGAAAAAAAAAGAAATAGACTGGACTTCAGGAGAATAAAACATAGTCAGTGTAGCACCAAGCTCCCTGCTGTCAACAACAGAGAGAATGTAATAAACGAGATGTTGCAGAGATTGTGACGAATGCTGTGCGGCATTTGACGTAAAGCCTAAAAGGAAATAGTCCAGACTTATCGTGAGTAAGTGAGAGCGGTTTGTTTTGATGGTGGTCTTAGTGCTGGGAGACTGGGTTGCACATGTTTTACTGGACTGCATGAGTTGTGTGGGAGGGGTGCGTAATTGGGGGATGTTTCCACGTCACGCTGGACCCATAGAGACACATCTGTATTATGTCATCAGGCACTCCACCCTCTGGCCACGCCCCTTTTCTCCAGCCTCACACTTTCAAACACACTCACACACACACACACACACACACACACACACACACACACACACACACACACACACACACACACACACACACACACACACACACACACACACACACACACACACACACACACACACACACACACACACACACACACACACACACTTCAGGAGTCTATCGTGAGAAAAAACACAAGACAATGACAATTTAAAGCCCCACAGAGGAACTTCTTAGACAAAAACAGACGGGTATGAAAGTGTGCTGTTATTTTTAATGTCTAATGCTTTGATTGCACTGATAAAAGTACAAACACGTGTCTTTACTGGCTTGCCTCTTCTCAAACCTCAAAACTTTGCGGAAGGAAATACTTAAAATTTCAGAGGAAAGACCGTTACTTTGAACATAATCTCCAAGTACATTCAATACATCACTACAATTTGGAATTGTGTTAAATCAATGTAGAGTTTCCTATTGTCAACTTTCTATTTCTTTTATTTCAAGAACACAGTCAAACCTGTTGAGATTTCTTCAGAAGGTTTGCCAGGCTAAATTCATTCCCCTAAAGTCTCATGGCTGACCTAGAATCAACTGCAATTATGCTACAGAATTAATCATGACGATACAAAATAGAAACAAGAATGTCAAATGTACTTTCCTGATTTCATATATATGGATTTCCTAGTTCGTAATGACTTTGGACATTAGGATGTGTTTTGTCTGCCAGTTATCCTATCAGAAACCATCCAGTTGGTGTTACTCCCACTATACTCATGTTTCCCAATCTGAGGTACGGGATCATTCAGAGTTTAGGGCTTGGCCTTGCATGTTTCCTCTCTTGTTGTGTTAAGGCCTTGGACTTTCCCTGTTTATGAATTGTGCATCAAAAATGAACTTGCGTTCTCAAAAGAAGTTTATTTTGATGAATGATTTGGGAAGTCCTGACCGAGATTAAAAATATGTAATAATTATCTCCAGCATGTCTGTAAACATATGGAAGGATTATTCTCAAACTGGGGGGTGTAAACCTAATCTCAGTCTCATGGCCTTTTCTGTTCATTTTTATTGTCCAATCTGTCTGAACAAGCCTCTGCCACTGACCTGTCCCCACATGAAAACCAAAACCAGATGGACACACTGTTGCTGACCCATAGCTGCACTCTGGCCCAAGAACTTGCAGCTTCTAACACATATTCTGTCGTGTTTTTCTTTGCACTGAATGAGGCCAAGAGTCACACCCTGTAACAAATATGTTGTATTCATGTAAATAAGTCACAACTGCAGGCGGCAGCAGACAATACCAGTGCTTTCTACATGGACTGGAGACGAGTAGGGGACAGCCTTCAGGGGAGCTCTACTATTTCCTTACAGTATTGTCTGTTCTGCAGTATTTGCTTTCACCATTGGGCTTTTACACATATTCAAATGTAATTCCATGTTGTAAACCAGGGCTCTCCTATCGCTTTCAGCTGGAGAGCTAATTTCTCTGGTCAAAAATAGCAGAGAGCTATACCATTAAGCGGCCAGGGGTAAATCAGTACTCATTCTATCAACATGCCATTATTTAACATATTATTAACACATTACTAAGTCAGCTTGCATTAACACAATATGGTTCTATATTCTACTATAGAACCATCTATATTAGAATATCCAACATGTAATATTTATTTGGAGATATTTGGAAGGGGGTCCAGAGTTGAGATCCTTGTTGTGAACAATTTGTGAAGTGAATCATTTTTAATGAAGGCTATCAACTGAACCTGCTGGGTTCCAATGTTGAAACATGTGGGCTGTTGCCATAGTGATAGGATATTTTATTTTCAATGTAAGAATGGTTCTCAAACCCTCCCATATCATTGAATTATGAACATTATATTAATTTCCTGTTCTGAGTTTCCAAAGTGCTAAGCTCAGCGGAAAAGTATATAGTGTTTCTGCCCTCTGCTGGTCAATGTTTGCTAGTTCAACAATAGTTTGTACCGTGTAAGAAATGAATCAAATTACACATAATTTGTTTATTTGCTTCAGATGTATTTACAAACTGGAGACAATCTCCATTGTGCAATTAATAACAGTTTCCATTACTCTGCTTAAGAGTTTAAACACGAACACAGGGAAAAAATGTTAGAATCTGTATATTTAAGCAACACAAAGCTGCACTCAAACTAAAATTGAGACACAACATGTTGAAATATAAAAAAATGAAATTGTGTAAATACAACCAATGATTCTACCATTAAATAAAATATACTTTACACTTGATAGAAAATGTGAATCAAACACACAGCAGATGGAGGCACCATCAGTCAATTCGCACTAGTCTACAAGAACCAAAAAGCAGTTTACAACTGTGGAAGTAAAAAGCATGTGGCACCTGAGGGTGTTTGGATTGAAATAACTCGCCAGTAGAACAAAAAACAGCTCAAATAATTTAACTGACCTGTTTTTTCAGCACTTCATCTCAAGCCACAAATGGCAGCAAAACAAGGAAATGGAGGCAAAGCTTGTGAAGGGCAGAATGCTGAAACACGGAAGAAGTCACAGATGAAGAGATGATGAGTAGTGGGACCATGTTGGAAGAGAAAGTTAGAGACCCAGAGTCCCCGGCTACAGAGACAGAGCAGCTCCAGGATCAGAAGCCCGATGGTGTCAACACATTCATGTCCCGAGGTTTGAGTTTGTGCGGCCGAGGAGGAGGGATTGATTTGGCCTCAATCCCAGTGATCTCGATCTTAGGAGGCATGAAGCTGGCGGGGTCTTCCACGTTCAGTTTGACCTGTGTGCTTGAGTAGTCCATGGTGGAAGACTTGTGAAGGCCAAAGTAGGACTGCAGGGAGAATCCTGAAAAGCAGCAGAAAACAAATCTTAGGGGTACACATATAACAAACTCACCACAGGGAGGACGTGACATTATTAGCCTTGATATGAACAAACAAACATTACAACTACTGTCAAGATTTAGGAACAATAAATATCAACTCAGCTCCTAAGCACTGACTGCAGTCATATTTCTGTTTCTTCACACCATCATGGATAGTGGTCTACATAGTGTTCATCACGGGACTAAAATATCTCAATTATCTAGAAGGAAAATATCACAACTAAACAGGTACAGTCTATAGCTCTCTTCACTCATGTGTCTGGATTCTCTTCCCTCAGCAGAGCCCTGAGACCAGTTCTAATTAAGGATGCACAATATATCTAATATTGATATCTTAGTTTTTTAACCTATCGACATCAGACTGATGAGTAAAATTGGGCCAATAACCACAACCGATGTGCATTCACCTAGTTGCTGTGTTGGGAAGAGGAAGGGGGATTTGGCCGTTGGGTTGCAGTGTTACAAAGTCCTCTGAGGAACAGGAAGTAAATCTCCCCATTAAGAACAATGTAAATATGCACTGATTCTGAGTAAAAATGCTCTTTTTCTGTGGTGTGTACAGCTGTGGCAACTGCTCGTATAAAGTGGAAAACTTATGAAGTTTCTATTTTGCTAAAATGAATTTCTCTAACAGAGGTTGACTTTTAGGAAAATGCCTAGAAAGGAATGGAAGAAATGCGTTAGCATTAGCATGCGTAGCATCTGCGGCCACAAACACAGTTGACAGTCCACAGTCTTCACTTACTATTTTTATTATTTACAGCTTAACAAATCACCAAAATGACAATAAAGTAAAATTTGTTCAGAACTGTCTTGGACATGGTTCTGTTGATCCCAGAGAGACTCCACTGTCATCACTATAACAGCAGCTTAATCCTTAATTGGACTCAATCAAACTGTACACGGCGTACGCTGCATTGAAAATAGTTTTCACTCAAAATAAAGATTAAACTGCCGAAAGCTTTGTGTGCATTTTCTCAAATTGCCCATTCCAACTAATAGGACAAAATCATCATGTTGCCATGAATACTGGCATGCTTGATGTGGTAATGGTTGGTTACATATGACATATGTAACCAACCATGACATATGGTTGTCATCTGCCATAACAGAAAAATGTATATCGGATATCGAAATCTGCCACAAATTTCCTATCGTTGCTTCCCTAGTTCTAATGTTCCAATGCAGTTGAATACATTCACACTTGAGCGTCTCACCTGTGCCTGTGTCAGAGCCAGGGTCAGTAGGGGACTTCTGGACCATGGGGCGAGAACCAAAGAAGGTCCACTTATCCGATCCACCACCTTCATTCCCCATGTCTGTGCTGGGAGCAAGGCTGGCGAGCTCTGAAGCTGTGAGGAACGGGCCCGGGTTCGATGAGAACCAGTTTCTGAATCAAAAACAGAATTATTTAGATCCAACGCAATCATTGAGACATGACATTTTAGTAGTGTCAATATCTAATGGAGACTTCATGCCGTACCGTCGGCTGAGAGCAGGTGAGGAGAGAGGAGTGACGCTGGGGGTGACACAGGGGGTGACGGAGGGGGTGACACAGGGGGTGACGGAGGGGGTGCCTGCAGGAGTCGACTGTGCTGATGTTGTGAGTCTGTCCTCCTTAAAGTCCCCACTTGGCATCTTCAACTTCTGTAAGAGAAACAGAGCACAGATGGTTTTCATTCTGCTGTTGGACTCAGGGAGTGGTGTAAACGCACAATAAACTGTTTCCACTGTTTTCTTTAGTGGCTCTTGTCCTCGCTGCAGCAGGTGCAGGGTACAGCTTGAATTATGAAAATTATTATTACTGAATGTTTGATGATAACATATCTCCTCTAACAAGTTTGTGTCTCTTACAAGCTAACTATTTGACCTAAACCAAGGGCAGAGCCCAGAGAACATTCATCTCAAAGAGAAAATACACCAGCTTGAGAGCTAGTTTCCATCTGTAGTACTGACGACACTCCATTTTGTTATTGCTCTAATGGTGTGTGCCAAAGCAGCACGTTGTATTGCAAACACAAATAGCATTTCTCCACAGCAGAGCATCAGTGCCACCTGCTGCTTATAAAGTGCTACAACTGAAAGTGAATATATCAGTCATTGTTCATAAGCTTATAGAGCTACAGCAGTTATTAACATCCATCCATTGTCTTCTTCTTCATCTGTCACAAGGACAGCAGTCAAAGCAGAGACATTCTGATCATTTTTAATATACTTTCTAACAACTTTTCTAATAAACTCATCTCAACTGCTGGAGAGATCTATGCACCAGCAGGAGCACTGTGCTCAGTACCATCTGTATTCCCACTGAGTGTTTTATTTAAAAACTTAAGACAAAACTACTTTTCCTATCCTTGGTGCTATCGTACAGTTTATTGGACGATAGTGTTTAATATTGACATTATTCAGTGCTCTAGGTCTCATTGGAACTGTGTGTAATAAAGATTGAGCTGATCTTAGGCCAGAACAGAAACAATACAACAGATACATCAGATAATTTGATTAAAATTGTATTGCCTCGGACCTCAGTTACGTTTTGGAATGACTTTACCATATGAAACTGAGATGTAATGATTGCATAGATAGATTGGGCAAATATACCCGAAAGGATAGTTTTCATACGCTCTCCCTGAACAGTTCTTTAAAAAGTCCTCCAACAATGTGATACACAATTACACATATTCATTGACAGTGCGCAGCAGAAGCCATTGCTAATCCTGCAGAGGCAGAGTAGAAGCCATGGTGGAAAATACAGAGGCCACTGACCTCTGGACTGACAACAGTAAACATGTCAGTGTGGGGAGGGGGAGGGGTTATTAGTCAAAAGAGAAATTCAAAACTTGTTTGCACCTTGAGCCAAAGCAATTTCCCCGTTACTTACAATGGCAATAAAAAAAAACTTGGATTCGGATTAGAGAACAGACATTAGTACACTCAGACAGACAATAAAAAAAACACGGAATGATAAGACAGATTTTGTGTTTGTCCAAATTACCTGAAATAATGTACTATGGACTTCATTGCGTTAGTACTTTCCTGGTTGTTTTTCTTGATATCCAGTATATGTATGTCAACTCCCCACATTTAACAACTCCAGCCATGTATTGTGAAATATAGATCCATGTTTTTCATTCATTCACACTAGTTTCCTCTAATCAAGCTCTTATGTTCTTCAAAATAAAGTTATTAGTAAGCAGATGAGTGTGAGAGCCACAGAGTTCATATTCATACTTCACAGCACAGTGTTTGGGCGGAGGCTCAGACTCTGGGAACTCAGCCAATATATACATCATATGAATGCACCATATCCTCAGGTGTAATAACAAGGTCACGTTTCAGACTAATGTAAACATGTTGTACTGGTCAGCCAATGCAGTCAATGTAAACATTGTCGTGTGAGTTGAAAGATTATCAGGTTAGTGTTCATTTATACTATGCTGTAACTGTAAGGTAAGGATAGGTACATAAGGTACACTATTGTTCTTCCAATGAAAACCAGTGGTCACTGCAGTTTTACGTCCATAATATCCAAAAATTCAAACGTACAACGATGTGTGTGGATTTGACATCCATCTGTTCTTCGGTCACATAACTAAATGGTCCCAATAGACTGCAGTCTCCGCTACGTTGTTTGCTCATTATGATCAGACCCATTATAGCGATGTTACACTGCTGAAACTGACCTGGATACGTGCATTGAATGCACAAAACACCCACAGGAGGAGACAGATAGTACGTTTAACTAGGAGTTATTTAGTTACTATAAACACAACAGACAACTGACGCTCACGATAAAGCGTTAGCTGTTAGCTGTTAGCATAGCCAGGCCTCCTCCGTGTGACTGCCGCTAACCAAGAATATCTACTACATACCTTTTTATCATAGGCTTTTTGTGTCGATCCAGCTCGCTGTAGATCTTCATTTTGCCCATAATCGCAACAATGAAATATTTGGTGGAAATGTTTTTGTAGGAAAAAAGGACAGGTCGATAAGCGCTGGCTGGTTAGGACCAGTTTGATGTCCTCCAGTAAGCAGCTCTGTGATTGGTCAGCTTCATTCCAACAGTGGCTGTGTCAAGTATGTTGCCAGGCAACGCAATAGGCTTTTCTTTGTACACACCTTAATATCCGAATCTAAGTATTATTTTAGTAAATGATAGTGTATACCAGTCTGTAGTCTGATGCAAGTGAATTATGTTTAGATGGAAAAATTGTCTTTGTCACTCTAACGCTCACTCTCATGGTGATCATTGTCTCAGTACAGTAAGTCTTTAGAAAAGTGAATCAATAGAAAAGTCCAATAGCTGTAGTGTTCGTGACCTACTCACAGGCAGTCGATGAAAGTGGGTCTCCTCTGCTGAAAGCCCCTTGTGAGGAGTGTACCCAGTGTCAGTGAGGCCTGCTTGGTGCTCAAATCGGTGCAGATTCTCTTGACTCTGCCCTGCTAAAAACAATAACATGACGTTGACCACAATTCCCACCTCTACACCTTCTTCACCGACTCCCACTGATGACTGCTGTTGTTGTGTCCTTGGGCAAGACACTTAACCCCACTTTGCCCAAAAGCCCCCGCTGGAAGATCTCAGCTCCTGTGGACTCACCACCCGCAGAGGGTCAGTGAGGGGCTGGTGCTATGAGACTTGGGTGGCATCTCTGATTGCCACCCCCCTGACCCAGAAATGGATTAAAGGGTAGAAAATGGATGGATGGATGGATGACCACAATGGAAAGCCGTTTCTGACATAAAGACATCACTCTTTCCCAATGATAATCAAAGGGGCAATTGTTGTGTAAGCTAGTGGCATTTTTCAGATGAACTAGATTGTGATTATGTCGTACCCCCAGATGCAGGACAAGTGCAGCTTCCCTACTGATAATATAGAATCTCAAAATAGAACATACATATCATTTATAAAAACCCTGGATGTGCAAACAGCGCTCAAGCTTATTTCATGTGTGTCTGTATATAATATTGTGTCAAGTAAGTATCATGTAATACATATGTGTGTCACATTAGATTATATAATTGAGGAGAGCTGAGAACTTGGCAGAAAAAAATTACTAAATCCAAAGTTAATAAACTTTCAGCTGGAACCATGAGATCCATGTAGACAAATACATATTCGCATAACTATATTTGATTTGAACAAATTGTACTTACTCATCAAAGCCGTCATTAGTGTGGTGGCCTTGGCCTTTACAACCGGCACCTGTGACTTGGCCAACGCTGCTGCCTCAAAAGTCACTGTCTTCCCATCTCCCTCACTTCCCTACAAACACAAACAAGTATGTTAAGAGAATTTCTAGTTCAATAAAATGAAATGATATGAAGAAAACACAGAAAGTACTTCACCGCCGGGTTGTAATGCTTTTTATTTTCATTTGTGTTACTCAAACAAAAGCAAACACCCCTCCTTTATATTGGACAAACACATCACATGATCAAGGGCAGGTTCAGTGTTCCCAAAGGGCACTCCAGGACCATCAGGCCACAGTCAACAAATGTCTATCTCTGAATCAGGGGTGCCCAAACTATTTCACTCAGGGGACCAAAAAGTGGGCAACGTACTCTTTTATCAGTTGTTCTGATAAAAAAGTTAGTTGAAGTCAGTGGTGTCAAACTCTTTTTTTCTAGGCTGCACTTTTATACCAAAACATATTTTTAGTGGGAAAAATAGTTTGGAACCACATATTTTGCATTTATGCCTATATATTTCATAATCATTTATTTATGATCTATGGATTGAAAGGATAACTTAAACAAGATTTTGGATATGTTTTTCGGTAGGTTTTTTTACCTGAAGAAAATTAGTACTGTTCTGTTTGGATTGAACCAAAGCTGGGTGAAAGGTAAAACAAATGGATATTTCCCTTTATAATTGAGAGAATGGCACATGGTTGAAAAGATTGGAAAGGTCTTATGGATGGATGGATGGATGGATGGATGTATTTTGGGTTCAATGATTAGAATAAATGAAATAATATAGCAATTAAGTGAGTAGGAAAGTAATATTTATCTATATAGCACATTTCATAGACTAAGGTCACACTAAGCGCTTTACAATGAATTTCAGAGAACCAATATTTTCCCACTCACTCCACTCACGGAGATGACAGATAATATAGTGGATTTCTTGAGAAAATTTGCTTTAAATGTATATTTGTCCTGCCATGGTAGACCATAATAACCATTTACTATCAATCAATGACATTTCAGTCTTTTGGAAGGCCACAGCAGTTGGTCTGGTGTTGCCAAATGTACCCCTGCTTTCATTATTGCATGATTCCAGTAAAGTTTGAGCCGTACCGGTTCTGCAGCGTCCCTAAACCGGTGCTTGGGCTTCACAGGGTCCTTCCACAGGATGTTGACGCTCATGTCCGGAGGAGGCGAGTGCATCGGGGCATCAATCAGGTCGTCGTAGCTGGTATTTCGTCGGACCAGTGAAATTGGGGACGACATGGAGCCGAAGAAAGAAGAGGAGGTTCCAGACTCCAGGGCTGAAAAGGAACCACCATGGTCACCAATAGGATCACAGTTAAAGCTGGTGTCCCTAACTTTCAAACCACAAACATGAAACTATATACAAGCCACGTTTATTTCTAGGAAATAAGTGTACAAGAAACAAAAATAGAATATCAAAATTGTACAGTTAAATTTTGTTACATTTACATAATACAAAATTATGAATATTATGTACACTAGAGAAACACTTGCAGATACTCAAAAAGGAAGAAGAAAAAAACGTATTTAATCCAGTTTAAAATCCAAAAACATAATATGGATGTAGTATATATTTCTTTAAATTAGACTATACAAATGTATACAGTTTATGTATACTTTTTATACTTAGTTTCTATCTATCTATCTAAAATAAATACTACCTCTCTTATATAGAAATATTATTTATTATGGTTTCTTGAGTATGGTTGTGGTATACTCAACATCAAAAACACTAGAAAATCCCCAGAGTGGAATAAAAACTAAAAAATCTCCTAATCTTATAAGGGATGAGAACTATGTTAAGAATTGCTCAAATTTAGCAACAATTCATCTTATTTTGAGCACATTTTGACTGCTTTAAAACAAGATTTGCCGAACAAAACAAGAAAAATCATCTTGTTTTAAAAAGATACAAGAAATGTCTCCCTTGGAATGAGAAAATAAAGCAACAATTCTTGAAAAATGACTGAATGGTTTTGTCCCATTGGCAAATCTTGTTTAAAATCCACTTGATTCAAGCAATTATTATCTCATATTTCATCATTTTTTGCAGTGTAACAATTACATCTCATAGAATGAATCTATAAAACCAACACATTTTTTGATCAGTTTTCAGACATTAAGATGATAAATAGAGGACAATTTAATAAGTGTTATTATGGAGAACAAAAAGTACACCATCATATAAGCAGTTTAACTAAAATTAAATACAACTAAACATAAACATTCTGAATGTATTATCCCTGCACTCTGGTCTATTTAATTGTTAACTCCTAATACAGAACTTGTTTTCCCCGTACTTCTACTATCTAGCACTAAGCATATTTAATGTTTACCTGGGATGTCTCCTTGCTGCGAGGACATTCTGACAGCAGTTGATTGTTTGTTTTAGGACCACTGTTCTTGACTTTGAAAATCCAAACCTGTCACATTGATCACATTAGCATTATCTCATACTGTACATATGCATTTAAACATACAGTCCAATGTCGGGAACTGGAAAAGGAAGCCTCAGCAATGTCTAGAACAGTGTCTAATTTCTGTAAGTCCGCAATTAGAATCAGAGTTCAGTTACAAACCGTGAGTTGATATTATGTCATCGTTGTCTTGTTCTTAGCAGGGCCTCTATTTGCTTTTGAGACAATCTTTGCAAAGATGAGTCATATGCCTACATGATCATGCAAAATATTATACAAAAATTGAATGCAGGAATTCTAAATATATATAGTTTTACAATATTGTATTTAAACTGAGGTTATACTTTAGGCACAATTTATGTTTGGGTGAGGTTTTTTTTTTTCCTTTAAAGAGATAAGATCTTGGACTCATTTAATATTCTTGTTTTGTATTATGTGTAAATAACGGGATCACGCCACGTTACGCAAGCGTGCATTCAGTCTTATCATGATAATAATGTTTCATTTTCTTTTATAAATGCCTATATAATTATAACATAAGAATGTAACTATCTGGTAATACATTGTCAATGTTTTTGTAATGCCTTAAATCAGTCAGCATACTTAAAATAAACATCAGTCTCTTATCGGCTTCAATAAATTGAATGACTTGAATGAATGCTCCTAACACTGGTGACATTATAAAGTCTGTATAGAGACTCTTGAGGCGGTGCAGTTGAGTGTGAAATGCTTGTTGGGCGTCAGACCCATGCACACTATTTTGGATACGGCACTTCGACCTGCGGTGACTTGCAAAAACACGAACCAAAGTCATGCGCTTCTGGATTTCACTTGCTTCAGCGTGAATCGCACGATCCACACACCTTTCAATCAATTCACCAACATTAATATCACGCTATTTAGGAAGGTGCATTCGCAAGAAGCTCTGCATTCTTTAGTTAGTTATGGAACAGATTTAGAAACACACCTATAGTAGAGATCCGGTGGTTGAGCTGCAGCTGTCCCAGTGGTCCCAGTAATGCCGAAATGACCGACTCAAAAAGCAAATACGGTCTGTTTGTACATCCATGACTTTTGGACGTGCACCCTGGAAACAGACGGACGCACGGAAGCGCGTAATCCCGCGCACTGGGACGAGGTGCGCGTGGAAGTCAGCTCTGTGCAGTGGAGATCTGAGACGTGATCACGTAAGCAAGTGAGAGTCGGACACACGCACACGGCCACCGCAGCGTGCGTGCATTGAATTGCATGTGTGGTTTTAATCGTCTTTTTAATGGTTATTTTGATGTTTGTTTTATGTGATAATTTGTGCTTTGTGTGGTGTGTGATTTGTATTGACATGTCAACAGACTGCATAAGAGGTGTGACAATACAGTCTATGGGTGTGACCTATGGGGCCTCTAATTAGGTGAGTATTTTGTCAGTTCTGTTTGTATTGATGAGAAAATGGGGGTCTTATATCATCAAAAGAAAATAATTCTGTGTAAGTCTGGGTTTAGTACCAGCTCCTCTGCTTACACAGTCTCATAGTAGTTTTGTTATGTCTTGTAAATAAACTTGAGCACTGAAACCTATCTGACACTTGTGTGTAACCTATTCCTCATTGCATCACCAGATGGCGGTATTTCTCAAAATGTGGTAAAAACAGACAGATCAAAATTAATATATGTCAACATTTTATTATCATAAAATTATGTGTAAAAACATACAAACAATATTAAAGTAACAGATGAAAAACTTGGGACAAATAGTTTAGAGAACACAGCGTTTCTAATGCAGCTTTTCACAATCTTGGTTGCTGTGTTTCAGAGGTCAGTGGTTTCTCAGCGCTTCAAAGTTGGATTTGAGTCTTCAGGAGGACAATGTCTACTTCTTTTTTCTGCAACAAAGGAAGAAAGCATGTTATTAAGGTGATAATATATATATTCCTATATTATCTAAGTTACAGTGTAGATTACTGCAAATACAAAAGCATTGTTCAGACTTACGGGAGTAATTTAGTCAGGACCCTGATCAGGGCCTTATTCTGGGGGTTCAAGCAATACCTGCCGCCTTGTTTATTTGTGATACTAAACAGGAAGAAAGAAATACATTTATCATTTTAATACACATTTATTGATTCTTTTTTCAATATGTTGAATCCTTCTATACTCACATAATCTCAATTTGGCTGCAGAAGTCTGTGATGGGGTAGATCTGTATGTCTGATATGTTACTCCGCGCATCTACCCTGTTTCTAAAGTTGCCGCATAAACACTGCTGTCCGGCCTGGTTTCCTACAACACACAAAGACAATGACAGTTACTTAAAGCACAAGAGCTTGATGTCTTCATGTTGAAGGGCCCCTGTTTTGGGAAAAGTCTTGTTTATCTGTTAAAGCTGGAATGAGAGACAATTTGTCCAAATATTGTCAAGCCTTGATCCCGGTCTGGAGGTTCAGACTGGGCCCAAACCTGACCCATGTGTCCCAGTGGTTCTGCATGCTCTCTGGTCATCCGCTCACTATGTCCAGGTCTGATTTGTCTTCTGTAGCTCTGTCTGTCTGATCCTTTTGTAGGTGCGTGCTGTAGAAAGTGTTTCCCAAGGCGAGATAAGAGCCTTGGGAAACAGCCAACTGAGGACAGCCCCTAATACCTGACTATTATCATTATATATTCATGATACATATACAATTACATAGAGACAGACAGAAACAGAAACATTTACCAACTGTAAACATAACATTTATTTTCCATGTTAATCTTTAGGCCAAAAGTTCTTTAGGCCAAAAGGCTATACGAATAACGTATAGCCATCATACAATAGAGAATTTGATCCTCATCCATTGACCCATGCTTTTTGTAACATCCATCCATGCCCGTGTGTTTCCAGATAAACCAATTATTCTTCTAATGGACAAACATGAAAACATAATTGAATCACTTACGTTGTGCATGGCAGATGAAGGCCAAGGCTGTGAGGACAAGCAGGACTTTGATGTGGATCATGCTGATGGACTGAAGAGGAGGCTGCGCTCTCTGGTCTCTGGTCTCTGGTCTCTGGTCTCTGGGTGTTTAGGTTTGACTCTTTGGTCTCTGGGTTTTTGGCATTGGAGGTCCTGTCTTTTATATTGTTGTAGAGGTATTGCATCATGGCTTTGAGGGGAAACATTTTCTTTGAGAGTGGAAAGTGAAACTGCAACAAGCCGCAAAGTGAAAACCACTGACTTCACCTCACTCCGGCTTTTGTTTGATCAAACTACAGCATCAAAAACCCAATGCAAGTTTAGTATATTACATGATATGGTACAATACAATAATCTACAAACAGTAGGAATTGATTTATTGATTTTGATTGATTGATGTATTGATATATATTTTTTTTGGTAAAACATTAAAAAACCAGATCTTAAAAACTCAAAATAAAAACAGAGGCATATCGGCTACGGTGAATTATTATGTTTATTAGAGTATGTAGATATAGGCTATTATATTGTAGCAACTATAATGTTTACGAAGGCTTTGATTGGGCTTTTATTCATTACTGGTGTTATTATTATTGTTATTATTATGACTATTATTATTATTATTATTATTATTATTATTATTATTGTTATTATTATTATTATTATTATTATTATTATTATTATTGTTATTATTGTGTGTGTAATGTGTAATATTCTATTTAGTTCAACTGGCAAAAATATATTTATCCAATTTCCTTATTCCTCTAATTCAAGGTCAGTTCTACAATTTAAGCTTTATGATGCATCTGCAGGTTTAGGTATTTGTCACACTGTTATTTTCAATAGATGCTATGAATACATACACTGTAACATAAGATGGAACTGATACTAATAGAAGGTGGGTTGTAGTGCAGGCTCAGAGGCATCAGTGACTATTGTGCTGCGGTTAACACCTCGATGAAATGCAGCTCGGAAAGAGTCGAGCACTGTTTCCAGAGATGGGTTTGGGGACATTGTGTAGGTTTTAAGACATTCAGAGAATATCACAGACCTCTCCACACAAAGTAACAGTTATGACACGTTACAGTTGTCCTTATTCAAGTGGTAGTGATCATATATGAAGGCCAATGTCATAATAACTCTAATAAAAAAACAAAAAAAAAAGAACATAGAAAAAGAAAATGTCCAAAGGTTTTCCCAGATGATTATTTTCTCTGTCATAATATACTTATTTTGGAAAGTCCTTTCTATTGGTCAACATCACATTATGTTTATGCACGTTGTCACCACTTCTAGACTTCATTAGAAATTAATTATATCATGGTTGATATGTTCTGACAAACTGGATGTGGAACTTTCTGGCTTGTTTCCTGTGGCTCTGAAACTAAGAGGTCTAATTTTAAACCGAATTTTAAACTGTTGGAATGGTTTGGTTATCCTCAACTTTATAACTCTGCAAATGATTGATAATTATTTACTGCTTCGAGTCTCTCTACAAGACAGGAGACAGGGTAATTTGATCATGGCTGAGTGCGTTTGTGTTACTAACTTTTTTATGTGATCTTATCTTTGGTATCCGTGGTTTTTGTTATGTGCAAATGTTGGTATTTTTTTAGTTTTTTAATTTAAGTTACCTGAGCCATGTGCATGTGTATAACCTGAATACTGGTGTATGACTATGTTGAAAAGCAGGAAGTAGCTACAGTGATCAGGTAAAAGTGGTCTGACATTGTGGGTTGAAATAACTTTTACTTCTTTCAATTCTATTTGGATTTCTATAATAGTCTCAACGATATGAAGACTGTATTCTTTCTTTCTTGTCTAGTTTTTGAAAATAATATTAATATTTAAAGTAGCAATATGTAAGATTTTTATGTCAAGTCATCATTAAAGGGCCCTAATCTGTCAAAATGCATTAATAAACCATGCTCTTTTCGAATACTTCTTTCACTGATAACAGTCAAATTTCAAAATTAGTTTTACAGTCCCTAAATCTTGTTATTGTTTACATTTTGATGTCCTGCCCTCCACCGTTTTACCAATCAGAAAGTCCTTGATCCGGGTTGCCAGAACTCACAGCATCAAGCTAATCTCACAGGTAAAGTGGCCGCAGAACTAAAAAGGTCTTGTTATGATTCTCAAATTATTAACGACAAAACAAGGAATAAAACCAGGATTTCTGTCGGGGGCCTTTGTGAAAAAGGTGTTGGTTATAGATTTGATGTTGACAAAACTCTTGTCTATTCAGTTATTATGGTCTCAGCTGCATGTGTCTGTATATCTGAGTCAGGGAGAGTGGGAGAGGTTGCAGTACCACTTTTGACCAGATTTTTACATACTGCTCCTTTAAAATTAATATAAATAAACTATTATTATTATTATTATGATATAGGCTTTTGACATACTTTATACCTGATGTTTTGTGTGGACAGAGTAGAAATGTCGAGGAAAACAAGAATAGTTTTCAGAAAGACCAGATATGATTGAAGGCACAGCTGACGTGATTCACAAGTTTGTCCAGTTCACAATAGTAACTAAAAGTCCAATTAAAATAAAATAAAAAAGTCCCATTTTTAAACAAACAACATTTATTGCTGATATTGCTCTACAGAGAAAATCAGCTTTTTGTGAGAATAAAAACAACCGTATAATGACCCAGTCCCAGTCACAGCTGCTGTGTGTCCTTTGCACAGCCGGCTTCACCTTCTCTCTTCTGACATCAGCAGAATGCACTTTGCTTTAATATTGTATCAGAGCTGCTTTAAATGTTTGATATTTCTAGTTGCAGCTCTTACAAAAATGTCCACAGGAAATGGATGCGTGCGTTTGGCTTGTGTGGGTTGGAGGGGGGCACAAGACTGTGGAAAGTGACAGTATAGAAATTGTACTTATTTTTGCGAGAGGTTAATAAATGGTTTTAGAGGGGATTTCCCGTGCGCCTCTGCTCTCTCTTGTATTTCTCTCGAATCAAAGGAAATGGTTGAAAGTGTGAAGTGAGCTATAGCTGTTTGCACTCTTCCTTTTTTTCGGTAAAGTCATTGTAAGACTTTACCGGAAATGGTCGGCATGGTCAATAACTACAGGCAAGGCAATTGTATTTTTATTGCACATTTCTTACACACTCAGAAACAAAATTCCAAAAATGAACAAAATAACTAAAAAAAAAAAGTGTTCTCGCATCCTGTATTGGCTGGCTGGGTTTGGCTTTCCTGCAGCAGTGCAGCACAGGTGGCTGCTATCTTAGCAGCAGCAGCAGCACAAACACCATGCCAGACAAACAACATGAGAAAATTAGAAGAAGGTCCTTTATTCGTCCCACAATGGGGAAATGTCAGTTTGATGCATATACAGTACATATACATACTCAAGGCAAGCAGCGAACATCACTTCCGCGCTCCTAATAGGCAAAGTGGGTTAAGTGTCTTGCCGAAGGACACAACGACAGCAGACATCAGTGGGAGTCGGTGGAGAAGGTCTCGTGGTGGGCTCGAACCCACGACCTTCAGGCTCAAAGGCCAATGCTCTTCTACCAACTGAGCCACTTAATTGTAAGATCTTGATGGGTCTCACAAACACTGAAACTGGAGGGAAAGAAAGTACAGGGCTAAAGAGAAAAACGAAAATTAAACTTAAGGTGGCAACGTGAATCATTATGTATCATGTTTCGTTCACTGCCAAAAAAGTTCTCGATGCAAGTTAGTTTGGGCTAATTATTAGCTACACTTTTTTCTTAACTTTTTCTTAATAACATTTTGGCACAGGACCACTTTCTTGCCATCTCCAGGACCTCTCCTACTTTAATTGTCTTTTATTACATATTATTTGCAAAACGTAAATCCGATGACTTCAATATTAACATGTGTTGATGGTAATATTAAGACAAACTTTAACAGGGAGATAACAGACAAACTTCACTGCATTTTGGCTCCATACTTTTGTTTTTCTAATTTTCCTAACATTCTTTTCATTGACTTTAGTTGAAGTAACACTCTATTGTTGAGTGACTTTTACTTTCACTTCTCCTTTGTTTCCCTGCTCCTGTAGTGACTCATCCTGTTGCTATTAATGCTTTTATCAACTTTCACTTCCAGTTCTATCCATAGAGACTTTTCCATGGGAGACATGACTGCAGCGTTAAATTCCGCTAAAGTATGTATTAGGGAAGTCCCCACGCCAGTTTAGCCTAAACCGCAACAAGCTGATGGAGCAAAACAAAGCTGAGAATCTACTGTTTTAACTGGACGCCACATGATTTAAGGACAAGGTGTTTTTACGCACTGTAGACTTAGTACAGTCAAGTTTTTTTATAATAGCACATTTTTTAAGAAAAAAAACAAAACAGATGCTTCATGGGTTCAGTTCGGAACAGGGCCTTTCTGAGTGGAGTTTGCATGTTCTCCCCGTGTCTGCGTAGGCTTCCTCCAGGTGCTCCGGTTTCCCCTACCACTAAAAACATGTACAATAGGTCTGGCATGTGCCTCCTGTACTGGCCCCACTCCCATCTCTGTGTGGAGTGGAATGCCCACAATTGTAAACCACTGACTCTGCTCTGTGAAAGGCGCTATATAATTAAAAATTACTTACTTACTTACTTTTCCAGACATTACAAAAATAGATGCACTCAAATATAATACAGCGTAAAATAAAATGCTGGTCCTCTATCATCAAAGTTTCATTTTAGCTTGATCAAAGTTACTCCTCCTGTACATGGTACAATGAACGGACTTGGACCTGAACTGGGATGCAAGCTATTTTTAAAGTACGTTTTTTTCTGTATTTAACCCCTTGTGACCTTTCCCTCTGTGAAGTCCTGTGTTTGGAGTCCCATCAGTTCATTCATGAAACAGACACAGAGACAACAGGTGAATAGCAATGCACAGATGCAAAAATTAACCTGGCAGTGATGAAAAGCTATGTTCATCTAGCAGCCCATGGACGTGTGACGGGTGAAAACGCATTTTTCTGAGACTGGTGATTTCTGTCAAACTTCCCTCTCTTCGACTGGGGATTACAGGAAAACAAAATTAGCGAGAAACTAACTTA